GGGAATAGAGGATGGGGAATAGTTGTACTTCTTCAAATATAGTAGAATAGAAGGCAATGTCTTTTAGTTTGAGTAAGGAGAAGAACATCAACTTCATCAAAGCATTTTTAGTGCTAGGACAGAGCAAGACCAAAGATAGAAACAACGGTAAAGAAGTAGCACCTTCCACCAGCGGCACCTTCTAACCGCCCACTGTGGGAGCTTCAGAAAGTGGATCACAGTGAGATCATGATAAAAGGCACAAATATAAATATTTATCTGTCTTATACAGTGTTTGACAGTTGTTTTTTTTAAAAACAGTTTAAATAAAGAACTCTCTAAAAGGGAGAAAAATAGAAACAATGCCCACTTACAAGTTCTTGACTACAGCAAACTTTCAAATGTTTTCAGAAACATTTCCATACATACATTTTGATGAGCATGTCAAGTTATTTGGCATAATGAATTCACAGACTAGCTTTGAGTTTTAAGTTTTATACATTTGCCATGGTCAAAGAATACTGTCATTGACATTTACAATAAGTAATTCATGTGCTGAACAGTGTTGAAATGCACATTTGAAAATAAAAGCATCACAAAAACCCCCCATTAAAAAACTATAATTTGTTAAGTAGATTGCCAGTCTCTGTCTTGGAAAAATGTTGACTGCTTCTTCACTTCCAGCTCTCGCTCAATCAGGCCATCAGCTTCATCAGTGGCCAGCCAGTTCTTGCACACAAAGAAGTACTCTTCATAGACTGGGACCTGAAATGAATTGCACAGAAATTGAATACGAGAATATCATGCCAATGTTGACTGATATTGAGTTATTATCCAAACAACATCAAAGGACCACACCAGCAAGTGATCAAAGATATGAAAAACATCTGGAGCACATTTATTGGAGAAAGTGCTGGGACAGAGACATACAGTTGGGCACTGATAATACAAACATCGAAAATTCTAAATCACGGACACCTCATACAATTTGCCATTTCCTGACTGTTATTTCTTTAATTTTTTGTTATCAATTGACCTGAATTATGGATGTGTCGAACACATTTGTCAATCCCGATATGTTCAAGTTAGTAAGTTTTAGTAGAGGTTTTACGGCCCCCGCAACTGCATAAGGTCATATGAGCACCAGAAGATTAGAGGTGTTACGAGAGAGTAACAAACATAAAAAAGAAGAAGGGGGAGATAATGACGATAGATGTTTAAAAGGAAAGAAGAAGCAAACCACACCAGAGCACCCGCCAACCACCCACTGTTTTTTTTTTTATAGTAGAGAGTTTTACGGCGCTCGAAACTGCATAAGGTCATATGAGCGCCAAACCACCCACTGTATTCGAGTTATCCATGCCTGGCTGTATATAATACGTTAGTAAAACGACTTCGCCCCCAAACAGGAAAAACGCTTTAAATTTGATTTCACTCTTTCTTGAGTCCAGTTTTTAATCTGGCAGGTTTCTGACTATAGAGAAACAGCTAGTTGTCTAATTTGTACAGCTCATTTCTCTTTGACTAACTTACTTAAAGCTAGTAAAAACTAGGTGTTTGTGGTTTCTGTCAACAATGCTCACAAAGGACTAGCTTGCTTTTCTTCATTTTTGCACAGACTAAAGCCTCATCCTTTGGATTTGCAAGCAAGCTGCGGTGTCCAATGGTGCTCAGATACACAAGCCTTGTAGGCTTAAGTTACCAGAGTTCAAAGAGTGGAGCTGTGAGGAGGCAGTTGCATGATGAGTTGTAATCTATGAATTATTGTAGGCAAAAATGTACCAATGAAAAGCCATAATTTAAAACCTACACTCCCCAAATAGACAGAAAAAAGGTTGATCTTTTTTTTTTCCTTTCATGTTTCCCTAAACTCAGTAATTCCTGGTAACAGAAGACCATTCATGTGTTTACCTTGACAACTTTTCCCTCTCGATCAAAGACGTTTCTGTAACTTCCCTCCTTGTCATCATCCTCCGACTCACTCTCCTCATCCTCAGTGACGTCTTCTGGTATGTCTGCTAGCGCTCTTTCCTTCAGTTTGTCTGACAGGCGTTTCTTGTGCTTCTTCTTTGGTTTTTTCTTCTTCTTGAGGTTTTTCAAAAACTCCACAACATTTTCTCTGTTCAAAAACTTTTTGATTTTGATCTGAAAAGGAGTAGATGAATATCTGCTTTATGAACAATTGAATGTGCTGGCAATGCGGGAAAATTATATGTATGTATGGTATGGGATGTCAACACTGTAAGGCCATTTTACAGGCAGTACTTTCAAATATAAAGTTCAGTCCCAATAGGGTGAAGCCATGGAGTGGAGGAGAGCCATGGAGTGGAGGAGAGCCATGGAGTGGAGGAGAGCCATGGAGTGGAGGACCATAGAGAGGAGGAGAGCCATGGAATGGAGGAGAGCCATGGAGTGGAGGAGAGCCATGGAGTGGAGAAGAGCCATAGAGTGGAGGAGAGCCGTGGAGTGGAGTGGAGGAAGAGAGCCATGGAGTGGTGGAGGAGAGCCATGGAGTGGAGGAGAGCCATGGAGTGGAGGAGAGCCATGGAGTGGAGGACCATAGAGAGGAGGAGAGCCATGGAATGGAGGAGAGCCATGGAGTGGAGGAGAGCCATGGAGTGGAGAAGAGCCATAGAGTGGAGGAGAGCCGTGGAGTGGAGTGGAGGAAGAGAGCCATGGAGTGGAGGAGAGCCATGGAGTGGAGGAGAGCCATGGAGTGGAGGAGGAGAGCCATGGAGTGGAGGAAGAGAGCCATGGAGCGGAGGAGAGCCATGGAGTGGTGGAGAGCCATGGAGTGGAGTGGAGGAGAGCCATGGAGTGGAGGAGAGCCATGGAGTGGAGGAGGAGAGCCATGGAGTGGAGGAGAGCCATGGAGTGGTGGAGAGCCATGGGAACCCTCAAAACAACCCAAGTTAAAAAAGATCAAGCTGAGAATTCAAACTTTGGCCATCCGCACCATAGTTCATGGTGATGCCAAGTCGGCTTTTGGCATGCTTTAAGTTACCTTCTGTTAAACTCAAAGTGAGTATGGCCAAGATGACCTTTAGAAGTGGTATTTCTTTCCTGTTTTTAGTACATTACTAAATTATTTATGTACAAATCAATGATACAATCTACCTGAGACACAGTCAATGCCTATCAACAAGAGATATTTCAATAAAAATTCACATCTAATTATACTTAACACTTTGTATCAAGTAAAATTTATTTTGTCAAGTATAAAATCTACCCGAGGCCTACGCAACACCTACATGTGAGGGACATATAATTCATGTTTTACTGCATCTTGGTCTCTAAATTTTTATTATCAGAATCATGCAATAAGATGTAAATTTCTTCTTTTGTTCCTCTTTCCCAAACCAGTTACCCTTCCTTCTCCCACCCCTCCTACTCCCACCACTCCCCCTCCCCACCCCTCATATCATCCCCCCACTTATCTACCAACTCACATCTTCACAGAACCACCCAGCACCAGGCCCTGAGTTGTCGTGCCCAATCTGAATCCTCGTGATCTCTCCTGTGTCCAGGGCAGTCACCTGAGAGAAACAGAAAAAGGATGTTGAGCCATGACTTATGACCAGTGGGTACAACAGTAGTTGAGTAAAGAGAAGCACATCAACTTTATGCATTCGGAGAAAAGAAAGACACACTGACAGATACAAAAGAGGGGGAAAAAAAGAAGGAGGGCCTATCAGTGGTAACCGTCAAAAACCTGCATACTAAAATGGTTTCTGTTTTTGAATTCTTATGAAAAGGAGGTAAAGTATTATAAAAGGAGTGCCACATTGAGTCAGTTTTGGATTTAGTTCAAGTCTGATTTTGGTCATTATGGTAGCATGAGGCCACAACAGACCCACTGCCAACTACATATAACAAAAGTCAATTGAAATGTCGGATGAAATAAGGAAGACAGACTCAATCTTTAAAAAAACATAACACGTCGTAAAATGAAGAATCACGCTCAACCATCTATAACAAATAACCATAATCTGACTGTTTGAGTATGATAATATCTTATGAAGATAGTCAACCTGATCAACACAACAGGAGAAGCTGTATGGGCCAATAGAGGGGCTTATTAGGATGGCACAGTATTTAATAGACACTGGTCTTCACATGTGATGAGATCAAGAAAAAAAAAAAGAAAAAGACCAAAAGCTCTTCTATGAAAACTTGGTAACTGACCTCAAAGACTTCTGTTTGACCCCTCTCAAAATTGTCTCTAGTGTCGTCCATGAACAATTTCTTTGTCTTGCCTTTCTTCCCGTGGATGATGATGTAGACATTTGCGTCCGTCCCTGCGTAGCGAACATCCCCAGTGCGTACTGTTACTTGATAACTGACAGGTTTTCCTGGGAAATTAATGTTCATGCAAATTAACGAATGGTACCGGAGTTGGAAACAAAATATCAAAATGCTTGTGCAGGTAAATATTATTCTGATTATGCTGTTTGACTAGTAATTTTTCCTTCAGTCACTTTCTGTTACAAACTTGATCAAACTAGATCTGTCTCTCATAGAGAGCAACAATTAAATTTTACTTTTTTAAACTGTATGCCTACATGGACTTAGAACAGTGTTGCTCCCACAAATGATTTCCATGCAGACTGCTAAACTGCTGTTATTGTGAAAGAAAAGTAATGAAGGGACTTGATATTTCTGGTCATGAGAAGAATTTCTGACGTCCTGATAATATAAATGAAGGTCTAGTTCTTTGTAATCAAATCATACTCTTTATCTTCATGTTTGTCTTGGAAATTGTTCATTAGAAAGCTAAATGGGCAAAGAACGAAATGAAATGCAAATGCAAACTTAGCATTTTTTTCTCCCTCCCATTCATATTTTCTTACTTGAAGACAGAGTAAAAAATCGAGTTCCTTTTGCGTGCCCAAATTTAGAGGAACCAATAGAGAGAGGCATTTTATAATATGGTAGATCCACATATACATGCACATATATTTGTCAAATGAAAGGCTGGGCATGCAAAACTTGCCAACATGTACAATTGTGACAGGTTTGAGGACAGGCAGAAAGTTCACCATACATTATACAAATACAATGAAGTTCTTTTGGAAAATATTTCAGTTCAGATGCATGTTTTTTTTTTTTTAAAGACCCTTTTCTGCATTTTTCCAAAAATTTTTGTCTTTGAATGGAGGTGCTAAACATGAGAAAAAAAGTTCCTCTCACCCCATTTTCTTAACACTAGGTACTTCAGGTGTTTTGTCAATAATGAGTAAAACAGACTCGAAAAGGAACCTTCAGATGTGTACACTTGCCGCTTTTGCTTTGACATTACAATGAACCACTTCATTGGAGCACTTAAAACTGCATCCGACAAGACTTGGATCAATGGAAGTTCAAAGACGCTTTGTGCAGGCAAAGGAATTATGCAGCACGAATGTAATCTTGAGTTATAATACATATAATAGTTTACGACAACTGAAAAGTCAGAGTGATGATAAGAGAGGGTACAACAAGAATGCAAACAGGTTAAACTCTAAAACAGCGCTTGCTAACCTTTTCATAGCCAGCACCCACTTTTGCCACCTTTGACAGTCTAATATTTTTGTACCACCCACTGTATTTCCAAACTTTCAGTACTACACAGGTCATCTCCACCATCCACTGAAATGATCAAATTGCTCACTAGTAGTGGGCAATTTGGCCCAGGCTGGCAAGCACTGCTCAACAACATGTAGGGATAGAGCTGTGAACACTTCATTACGATTAAGACAAAAAACGAAAGAGAAATGAAAATGGCAAATTTTCATTCTGTACACGACAGGATGCATGCCTAGTTAACTTAACAGACAATATAAAAATTGACATACGAGCAATCATTGCAGTTCCATTTTTAACTGTTTTCTACTCTTATCTGATGTTTTTGAAAACAAAAAAAGGAATAAAACATAGAATACCACTTTATGCCATACACCAGTATTTCTATTATGATCATAACTAATGAAGGCAGAACTATAATGTCTTGAGACCATCAGAATGAGGAAAAAGTAAATGAAACGATGAGTAGCTCCAAATTAACAAAAAAAATTAAACAAACCAGTCTAAAAATATGGATTCATAACAATAATTTTTGCCAGTTTTTCAGTTATGGGGACAGCCATTCCCCCCCCCCCCCCCCCACCAGAATGTGTTTGTGCCTTGCAAATGCCCTTTTCCCGGAAATCTAAATTTATACACTGATATCTGATAGTCTCCAGCTTTTCCAGATGCGTTGAAGTTAATTAACAAGTCAGCACAATAATGGACACATCTCAACAAAAAGCAGAATCAGACAATAGAAACATGAACCCCCCCCCCCCCCTCCACCATAGCTTGGAGCAGTTTACAAAAAAATAGCCCCACACACGTTCACTTTCATTTTTTTAGATGTGACCTTCCTAGCTCTTGTTTCTGATCTATCAAATATAGTGGGACTCTGTGTATTCAGTGATGGAAGGAGCAGGCGACAGGGGTTGCTAGACAATTGTTATTTTCTTGTCGTGTTCATGACAAAAACTCTACTTTTCTCAAAGATACAGTTAACAACCCATAATGTATACGTGGATGTGATTTCCAAAAAAAAGTGAACATTGATAGACTGTCTAATCAAGAAATAAACATGCAAACTTTCTTTCTGTACCTTTATGCATCACTTTACTGTAGTTTCAGAGTGACACACTTAAATGTTTTTACGAAAAACAAAATATGCAGAAAAATAATTTGCTCTACTTTAGTTTTCACTTGTTCATTTCCTGTTTGCTTCACAAACTTATTATTAACCAAGAAATATATTTTTCTAACCAAGAACAATACTGTCAAAAAGCAAAGAGTGGTGATCAACTTCACAAGAATATTACAGAAAAACACCATCGATAATTATTGTTCTACTTGAAAGTTTTTCTCACAATTAGAAGAGCACACACCATGCACAAAGTACTCAAATCTGATAAAACAAAAAAAAGTCTTGAACCTTGTATCACCACCACTCTGCGTCCCTTCGCTGCAAATTCAGGTGGTGGACAGTTAAAGAAATAATTTTTAAAAGAATAAGTTATTGTACACAGCAAAAAACATGTATTCAAATATTAATTCTACATGTAATATGTCATATTATGTATACGGCTTTTCTTTTAAAAGATAATCTTAATAAAGAAAAAGTGATGTATAACGGTAAAAACGTATTAAACATAATTGTAGAGAGAATGGAGTCGTATATTTGAATCTAAAAGTGTGTAAGAAAAATAAATGCAAAGAAGAGGTTACATGTAAGAAGCTGAAAATATGTTAAAAAATAAAGAGTGCAAAAAATAAGTCATATATGCATTAAGCTAAAAAAAGGTAACTAGTTCATAAGAGCTAGCGGGAAGCAGTCTTATACAAATCCAAGGTATGTTGACCCCCTATAGATAAACTTGGGAAGAAATGACTGAATCACATCATGATGTGAGCTGTAAATCTTGTATTTTTCTATTGTCTTACATGTTTCTTGGCAGCTGCTCAGAACTCATGACACATGAAGTGCAACATATTGTGCATAATTATTGCTTTGACTTCTAATTTCATTTGGATCCACAGCACTAGACCAAAATGATTTAAGTTCAAAGCAACCCACAATATGTGGCATGAAGACAAAGGGAACACTTCACTGCCTTTGACAATGTTAATTTTTGTGAGAAATCCCTCATCAGGATGGGTGAACATTTGCAGGACCAAATGTGATTCTTTTTCTATTTCATCTTTTAGCAGCACCCAAGTCGGCTCTAAAAAATCTTTTCGGATGAGGATCCTTGAGTAAGACCTAAGAAAAATCATAAAAATAAACTAAAACAGGCAAGGTATACGAACTTTTGAACAGAAGAGGTTGAATGTCGAGAAAAGAAAATACTCTGTTCGTCCAAGTACAGCTAGCAGCTCAAATTATATGAATTTAATAAATGCTGCCAATTTAGCAGCTATACTGGTCTGTTCATTGAGTTCAGTTATTGGTAGTGGGAATGGCGTTATAAGGAGAAGGGAGAAGCATTTTTAGCAAAATCCTAAACTAAGATAATGCTTCTTTGAACATAATGTTAGTATTCATTTCACAGCAACTGAGAAAAAGGAATTAATGTGCTGATTGGATAGCAAAAAAGAAAAAGAGGAAAAGCGCTTTAAAAATATCTTATTAACATGATAAAAAGATGTTTCTAATAAAATTAAAGTTTAACCCATTCTAATATGTATTTATGCATCAGGACGGTTACAGCTCATAAGACGTAGCTGTGACCCATTGTGATCCCCACTAGGAACCCAGAAGTTGGGCTGCATGTCAACAAATTTGAAGAGGGGGGGGGGGGCTATTCTTTACTTTTAACTATGTTTTCAAACAATCCAAGGATTATTCTGATCATTGAGACACAAAGAATGACCAACCTGTGGTAATTTCTTTAGCAAGCTTTTTCTTTGCCCTGATCTCCCTCCACAGGTGTCCGTCCCCGACGTCTTTGGCCAGCCACCCGTTGAGCAGGAAGTAGTAGATGATGCTGGGTTGTTTGATGTTTTGTAGTATCATCTGAAACAATGCAGTAAATGATCAATAATGTTTTCAGTCTATGTCAACACTTTTTAGTCCTATTTTATACAGAGAGTGCTAAACTTGTGTAACTCCAAAGAGATCCATTTCTCAGAGCAAATAAAAAGTGGAAATGCTATTGCATTACCATAGCTGATGTCAAGCCAGGCTATGAGAATGAAGAGCATGGTTCAAATCTCAAATGGCAGGCTTTTAAAGTTGATTGCTTACAGGATCTATCCATTTGACTAGTCTACTGGAGAAGAATGTTAATGCAGATATTATTATGAACATATCAAAAGCAGTTTTCTCAAAGCATATTATTATTCAACCTCAGCACAGTGTGTTATAAGCCCACAATGTATTGAAGGAACATACAGAAAAGGTGAGAGACTCACCCTGTCCAAAAACCACCCTGCTGCAAGGCCCTTGCCGTCATGCTCAACTCTGCAAACAAAAGTAAGCCCAAACAAAAAATAAATGAGAGAAAAAAATAAGAGGAACAAAGATCCCCAGCAATACAGTCAACTCACATTTTCCTGCAGGCACACTTCTTGATAGAGGTATAATTTGAGAAATAAATTCTTTTTTTTCCCTTACATGCATGCATCAGCATAATCAAAAACCAAAACTACCTTGGAGGAAAAATTAAGTGATCCTTTAACAACTCATAGCCAACAAATTGATTTGTGCCTGACAAGGTTGAAGAGGATTAAGTTAGTGCAAATATCGAGAGATATTAAAACTTAAACTTCACAAGTCTTTACCTCACAGTCCTTATTTCTCCAATATCTTTGAAGGCTAAATGGAATTTGTCTTGGCTTCCTTTTTCAAACAAGTTCTTAACTTGTCTCTGACCATCTGCTGTCAGTTTGATCTTTGGAGAGAACCCGTCTGTACCATGAAAAGTGACGAAAACGTTGGCATCTGTGCCAGCCATACGCTTAGTTCCTGTGACTACAGTCAGCTCATATTCTGCCAACAAAAAGAAGTGATTATGATGTCCTCAGCATAAAAGTCTATAAACAAAATTATTTTAGTAAAAAATGAGAGCTTGAACATGCAAAATACAATCATGGTTTTACTCTGTATTGCAGTACCCTCAAGCCCTAATGTATAAAGTAGTATAGTATTGTAACTGGATGGATAACAACAATATTTTACTGCAAAAAGCATATATGCATATTTCAATGTTTTCTTTTATTAAGCTCCATTGTAAGTTTTAATCATCTGTTTTGTGTATATAATCAAATCATAACGAAGAGCCACAATACTTTAATCCTTGACTGCTAACCACACATGCACTTCACATGCTATGGAAAATTCCATCAAGCATATTGCATGTCACAAGCTTTCATCGACATCTGTTAGCTTATTATAAGAGACAGCTACGTAAAAGTTATAACAATAGAAAGAGAAATAAAGAGATAACTTCATCCATTGTTTTGTCTATCACAAAGCTCGTGTTTTCCATCTAAGGGCTACATTATAACAGACAAAAATGGCACACTATGAAATGAGCTGCAAATTCTAAAATGGCTGTTGTGAAGTGATTGCTCTGTTTATGGTAGCCTACATCATCTCTTTCTTCAAACAGATTTTTACTATTTGACTTATAGTAAAGGAGAACTAAAATTAATTAACATTGTGAAGAGGGATAAGTAAATCTCAATATCTGTCACATGAATCCTGTCAATCTCATTTATACCATTTGACGTTCTCTCCACTTGGTTGGCAAGCAAATCTCTCCTGATGCTATAGTCTCCATGATGCAGTGAGAGCCAATTCTTGCAGGTGAACACCCACTGTCGGTGAGTCTTCATACAAGTAATCTCCACCTTCTCACAGTACCAGCTGTGACGCTTCTCTAGCCCATCATGCTGCACAGAAAAAAAAAAATGTGTCACAATGCAGTGGAATCAGGCGTTCATCAATTTTTGGGGATCTGGAGTTATTGATATCATCTTAAAGCTTGTTTATTTGATCATTTTTTGAGGAAAAAAAGCAAGCCTATCATGAATAGAAGTCGGGATATTTACGCCTGGTTTCAGAGGTAAAATTAGTGAAAAAATGGTCGCCAAAGTTTGGTGATTTCCAAAGCTTGAAAGTCTTTGAAAACTGAAATTTGCATTTGTTGTGCCTTTAATCGATGTTTTTTTTAGTAAAATCCGCACAGAAATATGTTTTTAAATGGACATAAAACAAAAATTAAAAACAAATTGTCAAAGTGAAGGAAAATTGCTGATATCTTCGATTTCAGTATGTTGACAAGCGCCTGATTTTATCACAACGCTTCACAAATAGAGTGGTGGAAAAAATCACTTTCAACATTGAAATACAGATAACTTTTGAGTTGAAAACAAAAGAAAATTGGTCCTATTGACATTTAATTTGAATACATAGATACGTCAGGTACGATGCTGAATCAATTAGAGACAACCTCAAATAATAAACAAACAGGAGCTGATCTTCATATCAGCTCTGACTATTTTCAAGCAAACCAAAAGTATGTTAAAATGTACAGTTTTAAAATCAACGCTAGATGAAGCCTAAATTTTTGCAGTAACAAGTTCAGACTTCCAAGGGAAAGTATTATTCATCATGTTAGCATTCTATAATTCATTATCATTACCAGCATGAACATGTCATCTTCTCATCAACAGTTCTGTATACAAAACAATAACAGACATTAATGAATTCTCCATTCTAATTAAAGAAAGCAAGCTTCGGGTCCTTTGCAGATACAGGTAGCAACATTAGCAACACATAGACAATGCATGGTGTTCTGACTAAAAATTGAATACATCTTTATAATATAAGAACAAAAATGACTTGAGCTAACTTTCAAATGAACTTAATAATTAGATCTTATTTAAAATAACACAACATGCGACAATCAAAGCAGCAGCAAAGTGAAACATTTCTATCCAGTGCACACTGCCAAATGAATTAATTCAGATTAAGTGGGGACCAGCCAGATTTTCCTCCACAGAGGGATAAAAGCTACCATAATAGCACAATTCGACCAAACTCGATTGTGACCTTAATAAACAAATGCATTTGTTTGTCAAGGTCAATGACTGGAGGTGTCAAGTGTGCGTGCAGAATTGGGTAATGGACAGTGCAGATTTGAATAAGCTGACACTGATGGATCCGGAAAGCTATCGACATTTCTTATGTCATGTAGTATTCAAAAACCTCTCAAGCAACTGCAATATGAAGCAGTCAGGACTTAAAGCCTTTATGGAAAGAAATTACTTTGTTGGCAGCAGTAAGTTTTGTGTTCAGTAACACCATGTGCTCGTCAAAAATTTCTATTCTGATCAAATTTACACTAGATGGGAGGTGTCCATTTGTAGTGTGCACTGAAGCCGCCTTTAATTGACCCAGCCCTATGCAATCCAATCTGTAACTTTTGACAAACCTCAATTGAAAGAATTTCCAAATTTCCTAGACGTGGGGACTTGATGAAGAAAGTCTCTCTCGAGCCACGACAGAAACAAAACTTTTGAGTGTGGTTACCGCGACAAAGTCTTGCCTTATACAGGAAGTTCAGATCTCCTTTCAAAGATATATACACCTGAAACAATAAGAAAGGCCCAATTCAACTAGATTTTTATTACATTTGATATGAGATAATAGTTAAGCATTGTCTGGGGCAAAAAATATTAAAGCCGAGTCTATAGAGTTCAAATTTTAAACATACTCCATACCAAATAAGCATCTAATTTTCTGTCTGTGGGTGTGTATAATGTATGTGTAAGTGTGTGTGCATGTGCACGTGTGTGTGTGTGTGTGTGTGTGTGTGTGTGTGTGTGTGTAACTGTGTGTGTGTATGTGTGTGTGTGTGTGCGTGTGAGTGTGTATGTGTGAGTGAGTGTGTGTGTGTGTGTGTGTGTGTGTGTGTGTGTGTGTGTGTGTGTGTGTGTGTGTGTGTGTGTGTGTGTGTATGTGTGAGCATGCACATAATATGCTGTCACATAATCATTGAGTATATGAATGTATGCAAGCTGAGAGTGTATGCTAGTGAATAAGAGGACAGGTGAAGCCACTTGTCATTCTATGATTGAGAAAAGAATATTGTAAACTGATTTTATTTTAGTTGCCCATAGAATATGTGATGTCTTTTCTTTCCTTTTTCTTTCTGTCCCTTACATATTTGCTTATGACAAAGTGATTGATAATAATCAGAAAAAGGTTTTCCCTTAAAAAAAAAGGGTGAAGAGGATTAATTCTTGTTGCAGCAATATGCTGACAGAACAAAAATAAATTTTTGATTAGGTATAAAGAAATTACGTTTTTTGTGATTTTGATATATTTTGGCAACAATTTTGTAATATTGACGCCTTTAGTAAGGAAGAAGTGACTTCTCATTGCTCCATATAAGATAAGATAAGATAAGATAAGATACATCTTTATTGTCCAGATCCTGGCACATTGGTTTGGTGTTCCACCACGAGTACACACACACACACACGCACACACACGCGCACGCGCACGCACACACACACACACACACACACACACACACACACACACACACGTACACACGTGCACGCACATGCACACACAAGTAGGCTTACAATCACATACATAATATAAATGAGCAGCAGCATTAACAATAATAATCGTAAGCTAGATACACACTCAATGTTATTTTGATGCATGCTCTAAGGTCGTAAGTACACTAAACAAGATAGATGGTTAAGATGGAAGCATTTTGATAGATGATGGTAAAAATGACCTTCTGTATCTTTCTTTGTTACAGATCAGAAGCATGGGTCTTTTACTTCTGACTGATGTTTTTATTTGAGGGAACAAGGGATGTTTGTTGTCTAAAAAGATGGAATTAATTTTCTTAGTGCAAGCTGTTATGTACAATTCATCCAAGTAGGGAAATGAAGATGTTGAAATTTTACATGCTTTCCGTATTAGTCGATTTAATTTTTCTTTATCTTGTTGTCTTGTGTTCCCGGCCCATGCTGTTATACAAAAATCGATATTACTTTCTATGGTTGAATGGTAGAACATGGACATCAATGTTTTATCAACTTTAAAATACTTTAGCTTTCTAAGAAAAAATAGTCTTTTGTTCACTTTTTTATGCAGGAGAGAAGTGTGGACACGCCAGTTGAGTTTGTTGTCTATTGTAACACCCAAATACTTATAGTCTGACACTTGCTCGATGTTTTCACATTTCATTTTGAGTGGCTGCAGGGGCAGTTTCTTTATTCTAAAATCAACGACAAGTTCTTTTGTTTTTTTCACATTTAAAAGCAGCTTATGATTTTCACACCATTCAGAAAAATTAAGTACAAAATTCCGGTAAGCGGTTTCGTTATGGTCAGCCTGAATTAGCCCAATTATAGTTGAATCATCTGCAAATTTTATCAACTTGATGTTATTGTTGTTTATTTGGCAATCATTCGTGTATAGTGTGAATAAAACTGGTGACAAAACACATCCTTGAGGGGCCCCTGTATTTGTTGTGATGTATGTCGATGAAGAATGTTTTATTTTTACATACTGGGTTCGGTTGGTAAGAAAATTGCCTATCCATGATATTAAATTGACGTTAACACCTGAATGTAGAATAACAGGTGGTAACAATTTCTGTAAATATTTAGGTCTACAGTGTACAAATTCATGAGTTTGTGCCCTGTTATTGTTAGCAATACTGATTCTGACAGTCATGGCAAATCATTTATTGAACTTCTCAGAATAGAGAAGCAAGATACATAGGAAAGGAGAATTTGGAACTCATCACTTACATTTGCGTCTGTTGTTGCCCCAGGAACGTCACCAGTCCAAACGACCACCTTGTACCTCCAGTCCAAAATTTCTTTTGGTTCTTCAATTTTGGGCTTGACTTTGGGTACTGGGGCACGATAGACTATGCGTGGCTTCTTCACCACAACTTTCTTTGGTATTCTCTGAGGAAAAGAAAGGACAATGAACCTCCAGTAACATCCAACTGCTTTGCACTGGCTCAGGTATAAGATTCCATTATCTTACAGTTACATAGGGGTATGGCCACATTTCATCAAAGACTGTACATAACAAAATAGTTCACTTAGCCAAAAAAGTGTCCGCGGAAGTCCGCGGATTGCTTCAGATGGCACTACAGTCTTTGTTTTGAAACTCTCTTTCATTTTTTCAGAAGAAGAATAGGAATAGCACAACTTGTTAGCTTCACTTTTATTGTTTTTCACACAAGTAGGGTAACTCTGTTCAGAAAGCGGACTCTTTTTCAAAGACGGCGCCAACAGGTTTTGAGGAAACTTTTTTAAGTGGCTCAAAGAGAGGAGAAAACCATCTTGTTATGTACTATCTTTGATTTCATCTAGTTAAGATTTGAACAAAAGTAAAGCTTAAAAGGAACAGAAAGAGTAGACAATACTTTTGAGCTAATCAACTGCCTACAAAAGCCAAAGGCTTGAGTTCACACCACAAACTTGTCAAGAAAACGGCTAAATTTCAACAATTCATGAAAATGGTCATGATGACTGAACTAAACAGATGTTTCTTTTCACTCTTTTTGATGCTCTTTGATATATGCTTTAGATAGTGAAACATAAAATTTAATTTTACTGCTCACCTAACCTGAATGGAAAATCAATTTTGCAACAACAAAAAATTAATTACTTAGTTTAGAACAATACTACAATGACAACAAGCATAACAAAGAACACATACAATCCACAGCCACGAAATAGAAATGTAAAAAAGCACATTTATGAACACAATATTCTATGCTATATGGCATGCTAAACAAGCCAACATATTTGAATTACTTACAGTTCTCATCAGATGCATTTGATGCTCTTCTAAGGTGGAACACAAGTAGCAAAAGTTTGTTGCACCTGTGAGAGAAAGCCAAAATCTCACTTATTTCAGAGAGGACAAAAAAATTGTTTTAAAAGACTTAAAGTCAGTCATCCTAGTTATGAGGCTAAAAAAACATTGGAAAAAAAAGAGGGGTAGGTTGGGGGGGGGGGGGGAGAAGGGGGGGGGATTATATCTTTGAAAGCAGCCACACCGGTATTATGATATTCTCACAAATCAGATTTCAAAACCATTTCTAGGTTTTTCCTGAAAAATCATTTATATCTATCCAATGTTAAAGACAGCTATATTGCTCTGTCTTCTCTTCTGAGTCACAAAAAAATAAATTTGCAAACAAAAGCTGTAAAGTTCTTCGACAGGGAAACTTACAAGGTTTTGTGGTTGAGTTAGGTTGTAGAGTGCTTTGATGAGGTGAGTTCCTTCTGCTTCTCTCAATATTTGTTTTATTCGTATCTCCTCAGGAGATATGTGTCAATTAATGAGTTGACTTCCTGTAAATTACAACTGATGCAAGTAAACCACCAACTGCATTACAATTAAGAAAAAGAAGTATTAGGGGAATGATGAAACAGAAACCAAAACTGTCCTCTTGAACATAAAACAGCTGTGTTCTGGTTATCTTGTTTCAAGAAATCAGTTGCCAATGAAAGAATGTCCAAGTTATAGTTACATATTGACATAAATTCTTTCATTCATCATGATTGGGCAATTGAGACTAAAACCCAAAGAACGATAACAATTGCTTTCTGTCAAAGGGTACGGTTAACCGGTTATGTCTAGTAGTATCATTGTAGTGCCTTTTTATTTTCACAGTAGCCCACTTCTATATCCTGATAATTGACAAAATCCAGTAGAGTTCCAAAGTATGCCGACCTGAGATAGAGGAAACAGTGGAGGCATCATCAGCTAAAGACGACTTCCTCGATGTTGTACTCAGAGTCCCCCAAGGTGCAAACATGACTGTAGAGTCATGCCAGGATGACGCCACTGAAAGAGGGAAGAAATGTAAAAATAATTATAATGATTTAATCCTAAAGGAAAATAAATTTATTGTTACCTTAATTACATATCGCCCGCGGAAAATTCTAACCGTCCAACTCCGATTTAGTAAATTTTGCAGGAGAGACAAAAAACTGAATTCAAAGGCTCCTATGGGGATTTACTATCTTTAAATGCGCTAGACTGGAATACATGACTCTACTTTTAAGTATTTAAAACAAAAGTGCCGAAATTTTATTATTTTAATTGCTAAACCAGAGTTATACGGATAGACCGCTCAGTTTTGGATTTCTAACCGTCCAAGTGTCGACGAACGAATTGTTCGTTCAGAATTCTCCAACCCGGCGGGGACGCCACGCGCTTCGTTACGTCTAACTCAGTCATCGTGACACGTTAGTGTTACCGAACAACTCGAAATGACTACACCTGCAGTCAATCCAACAGGAAGCCTACGATAAAAGTTCTAATTAGTACTACATAGTACTGTAGATCTAGAATCTAACAATAATACTGTTTTATTATATCTAAAACTGAACGTTGCATTTTATTTCCACAAAATTCTAATTAGGCAATGGGCTTGTCGACAGATTGAGTGTGTCGTTAAGTTTTTACTATAAAGCTACTAGATCTATTTGATCCTCCATTCTCAAGGAAATTGTGAGAAGGATTGGTTTCTTGTCTAGCTACAAGAGAGAGAGAGAGTGAGAGAGAGAGAGAGAGAGAGAGAGAGAGAGAGAGAGAGAGAGAGAGAGAGAGAGAGAGAGAGAGAGAGATTGAGAGAGAGAGAAGGGGGGGGGGACTGAGAGAGAGAGAGAAGGGGGGTAGGGGTCTGAAAGAGAGGGAGAGACAGAGAGAGAGAGAGAGAGAGAGAGAGAGAGAGAGAGAGAGAGAGAGAGAGAGAGAGAGAGAGAGAGATTGAGAGAGAGAGAAGGGGGGGGGACTGAGAGAGAGAAGGGGGGTAGGGGTCTGAAAGAGAGGGAGAGACAGAGAGAGAGAGAGAGAGAGAGAGAGAGAGAGAGAGAGAGAGAGAGAGAGAGAGAGAGAGAGAGAGAGAGAGAGAGAGAGAGAGAGAGAGAGGGAGGGGGGGGGGCAGAGAAGAATTTCCGTATATGAATTGTTTTCATGGAGCTTCTTTTATGGCTAATTTTTCCTGTTTGAAGTACAGATTCTGTTCCAGTGCTTGCTCTCTAGTCACTAGCATAATAGTTCTTTTATTTATCATTTTCCTCCATGTTTTCCTGTCCTCGGTTATTTCTTCACAGATGCTGACATCTACTCCAAGCTTAGATAATCTGTTTTTGCAGATGTCTTTGTACCTCAGTTTTGACCTTCCCCTTGGTCCCTTTCCCTGGGCAAGTTGTCCATAGAGAAATTGCTTTGGAATCCGGTTGTCTTCCATTCTCTTGACATGGCACAGCCATCTCAATCTTCTTAAACACAGGATTATTCGTAGGGTTGATTCATTATGAGCGACAACAGCAGCATCACCGGCAAAGAAAAAGTCTTGTATTCTTGTTTGGTTTGTTGATTTTGGTCTTGGCTCGAAGTCGAGCAAGATTGAAAAGCGACCCATCAGTTCTCCAGTGGAAGAAACTGAAATGCTTCTAACTCTAAAAACATGGTTTAACTTGGTTGGAAGACTCTAGAAGTAATATGCTTTTTTTAAAGCTCAACTAAACCTCATATAATGCATCCCCAACTAATGTATGGCCTAATTAAATAACACATTTTACATAGAAAGTCATCAAGGTGAGGTATGCCATAGCAGCATCCAGTGTCAACAGGAATGAATTATCCTCTTGTCCAAGCACCATTATGAGGCTTTAAAATGCTCTACCCAATGAAGCTAAAGCTCTGGTTGGCTAAAAATAAACTACATAAACCAAAACACAATACACTGCATATCAAATTAGACTTAACCGTGGGTTTTGACTTGCGCCCTGGTGACGTACTCAATTCTAGATTGTCATAGAACTTGTGGTAATCAGATGGCACAACAGACTTCATTTCTTGCATGTGTTATTAAAGTTCTCTATGGACGAATTAAACTTTCTACCCTGGTACAGAGGCAGTCCCTTCATGTCTTTATGGAGAATGTCTGTGGACCCGCCACGCTTCAAAGGCAGATGTGACCATCATCATCAAATCTCAGTTTGTATTTAATTTGACCATCTGGTGTGTAAACTCTGGTTGGTTAGTTTGATGAAATCAGAAAAGATACAATGAGTCAAATACTTGACTACATATGGCTTCACTTTCCTACTTTTTTCCATTAGCCTGACATGATCAGCTGGGTAGTAGATGTGCTGTGAGCACTGTCCAACTCCATCTGTGTATAGCCCTTCTCCAGGAATTTTTATGTTACAGTTTTACCATTGACAGAGCTGAAATGTAACAGTGCAGAACTCATTGCGACTTTGCAGTTCTGATACAACCACATCCATCTGAATATAATGATCTGGAGTCAAATCAGATCACAAAAAATCAGCCACACAAGGAGCAAATTTATTTGCAGTTAGAGCACCTTCGCATTCATTTGAGACCTTACATACACATATCCCCCCCCCCCCCACACACACACACTCATACTTTTCTTTATACAAACGGCGGAACACTGCCTGTAAGCTCTGGAAAACAGGTTCCAAGTATAACTTACTGGAGTCCTTTGGCAATAGTGAGACGGCAACTTGGGCAGATCACGAAGAAACTGTTTAAGTACCTTTGATGCTGTAGTCTCCTCCCTAACCCCTTTTCTCTGAACTGGAACCTCACCCTCTGCTACACCCAACCCACATGTGAGAACAATGTGAACACACTAGTAACAAAGTACAGGACTTAAGAAGAAAAGTGTGCATTCTTTGACTCTGGCCCCATTCACTCGCAGATGGTACTTCATGGACCACGATCTTCTGCTTTCTCTCTCCTTATCTCCACAGGCTCGACACAGTCAACCAACCCTTTAACAAAAGCAACCTTTTCTGATTTTACATTTATTTAAAATCAAACGCCTCCATCAGAGCAAAACTTAATCGCCGTGATCCACAATGGCGAGCTACCTAAACGAATTAGACGGTTAGAATTCTTCAGTGACCGAAGCCAGTCGGAATATACGGTTAGAATTTCTCTTTCAAACAAGACTTTTGTTTGTCAAAATTATTCTAGATTTTAATAGGACGTAGCCATTCGTCATGTCGATCTATTTTAAGGAAAAAATAATTTTATTTATAATCAAACGCCTCCTTCAGAGCGTAACGTTATCGCCGTGATCCACAATGGCGGACTACCTAAACTAGTTAAACGGTTAGAATTCTTCAGTCACGGAAGTCAGTCGGAATATACGGTTAGAATTTCTCTTTCAAACAAGACTTTTGTTTGTCAAAATTGTTCTAGATTTTAATAGGACGTAGCCATTCGTCATGTCGATCTATTTTAAGGAAAAAATAATTTTATTTATAATCAAACGCCTCCTTCAGAGCGTAACGTTATCGCCGTGATCCACAATGGCGGACTACCTAAACTAGTTAAACGGTTAGAATTCTTCAGTCACGGAAGTCAGTCGGAATATACGGTTAGAATTTCTCTTTCAAACAAGACTTTTGTTTGTCAAAATTGTTCTAGATTTTAATAGGACGTAGCCATTCGTCATGTCGATCTATTTTAAGGAAAAAATAATTTTATTTATAATCAAACGCCTCCTTCAGAGCGTAACGTTATCGCCGTGATCCACAATGGCGGACTACCTAAACTAGTTAAACGGTTAGAATTCTTCAGTCACGGAAGTCAGTCGGAATATACGGTTAGAATTTCTCTTTAAAACAAGACTTTTGTTTGTCAAAATTGTTCTAGATTTTAATAGGACGTAGCCATTCGTTATGTCAATCTATTTTAAGGAAAAAAGCAATTCGAGAAAATTTGGAGTTAGACGGTTAGAATTCTCTGCCGACGATATGAATTATTAGGATTTAATCCCTTCGTTGCTTTATGATGTATCTGCCACGTCACGAAAATGTTTAGTAAGAGGAATGAGTAACTCCATATTTGTCCTTTCTTGACATGTGAGTAAGCAAGATTTAGGAATTTATTAACAAACAAATGCACAATATAAGAAATTTACCAAATGGTGGCTGTGCTGGTCCACCAAGATGTCGCTGTTTACTTGGCAGTATTTCCTTTTTCTCCTTCTCCAATCTTGACAGGTTTCTGTCTGTGTTTCGAGTGAGTTGTTTCAAACCATCTCCATACAGCTGTGAAACAAAATGGTTTGATTTATTTTTCAATTAGAAATTTTTGTAACATTATGATTTAAATGAATGGAAATATATATAAGAATTAAATATAACTCTACATAAAACATTTTAAAATCATTGACAATTCATGTCCTTTAGGAACATGTCCTTATTGCTGATGATGTAAGGAGTTTCCAATACAAAGTCAGTTCAAAACCAGAGAAGAAGTGTTTGCTAAGGATGGGAGTGTCTATACATGCGCAATTGCTTGCACCAACACTTTTTTTGCTATATGCACGCAATTATCATACTTTAGCCGTGCCATAGTGCAAAAGATTCTCTACTACCAAGATATTGCACTTCCTTTTTGGGCTTTTGTCCCCTCCGTGGCGGGCCCATTTTGCCACTTAGCCCGTGATGGGTTACGTCACTAGACGCTGGGAGGTTGGTTTCATCACCGACTGCTTGGGGTGTGTGTGTATGTGTGTGTGTGTGTGTGTGTGTGTGTGAGTGTGTGTGTGTGTGTGAGTGAGTGTAGGAAAAGAGGAGATACAGAATGGTACTGGCACAGGCTAAATTATGAAATGAGAATTGCTGAGATTGTTTAAAGATAATACAAGTTAACACACACAGAAAAGAACGAATGCGAAAAAGAGGAAAAAAGGTTGGGGGGGGGGGGGTTTACCTTTTTTATCAACCCACTGTCCAATTTACTTACCTCAGGCGGCCAGGCGTGGTCTCGCATTGCCCGATACTTTATTATAAATTTTGAATCAGCCCCCTCATGATGTGGACGGGCCATCATAAACAATTCACCTGTCTTTATTGTTAGTCCATCCAGGGAATGTTTACCCAAGTTGACCAATGGGTAGGCCTAACTATAAATTTCCAACAGCTGGTGAGGGAAGTGCAATCCATCATACCTATTAAAAGTCCCGCCCACAACTCATGCAGAAATCATGAGTGAGGTGAGTGGTCACTGTTTTGTTTACCTAATCTGTAACAAAGTAACAATGGACGTTTGTAAAGTTACCTGGCGGTCCGATGAGTCGGGTCTGTCAGGGGGCCCCCGTCCAAGATAAGTGTTGCCTCGTCGTGGTCCTGAGTTTGACTGAATACCTCAGTGAGTCTCTCAGACGATGTCTGCCTATTTCGCGCCGGACTCTTGACGTCATCCAAGGGCGTGCCACTCCCCTAATTATCTTGTCCCCACAGTAAAGATAAGAGTCATGTCCCTTGACATCACATTCCCCTCACAAGCAATTTCAAAAACCATTCAAAATTCTAAACGCATCAACCAGAAACTGAAACTATAACTCTGAAAACTTAAATACACTGTACACAGCAGAAACTTCGTCTACAAGTCGAGTCTCTGCGGAGGCCTGACATGGCGTCCCGACTTCGTTATGTAGTCAGACGTAGTGGAAGTATCATGAAGGGTTGTGTCTGACTCTAGTGACTCTGCTGGTAATTCTGGCTGATGGTGAGGCAACATAGAAGACTCTCTGGGGATCACGAGATGGTTACTGTCGTCGCCTTCCATCCTCAGCCGGATCTGGTGACGATTACGAACGTTCAAGCCGTTGTCCGTTTTCAAGAGGTATGATCTGTCTCTCGATCTTTCTACAACCGTAGCCTTGGCATCCCTTGGGGTTTTAACCCAAACTGGCTGTCCTTTTGACAAGTCTGACATGGGCTTGGCGCAATGTCTTCGATCGTAATCCTGTTTCTGCCTCTGCCTGAAAGCTGCGTCAATCTTCCTGAACACCTGCCTTTCTCCCCCCTTTGGGACCAATTTCTCTGGGAAAATGGGCACTCTTGTCCTGATTTTCCTACCCATTAGAAGTTCTGCTGGGCTCTGTCCTTGCTGTAAAGGAGTGGAGCGGTAGTTCATGAGAGCCAAGTAAGGATCATCAGACTTACTCAGTAACATTTTGATAGTTTTGACGGCTCTTTCAGCTTCTCCATTACTCTGAGGATGTAGAGGGCTGCTTCTCAGGTGCGTTAAACCATAGTACTGTGAGAACTTTTGAAACTCGTGTGCAATGAACTGGAATCCATTGTCCGAGACGACGATTTCAGGAACTCCATATCTTTCAAAAATTGACTTGCAATGTTCTACGACATTTGAAGCAGTAGGCTCTCTTAGATGAGCTATCTCAATGCACCTCGAGTAATATATAGTCTACTATTAGTAGATGTGCGTGACCTTTCCACACAAAAAGATACATACCCACCCTTTGCCAAGGGTAGTCTGGAGTGACTGTCGGCTTCAATGGTTCTGGGCATGTAAAGTTACCTGGCGGTCCGATGAGTCGGGTCTGTCAGGGGGCCCCCGTCCAAGATAAGTGTTGCCTCGTCGTGGTCCTGAGTTCGACTGAATACCTCAGTGAGTCTCTCCGACGATGTCTGCCTATTTCGCGCCGGACTCTTGACGTCATCCAAGGGCATGCCACTCCCCTAATTATCTAGTCCCCACAGTAAAGATAAGAGTCATGTCCCTTGACATCACAGATGTTGATGTGAACTTGCAACAGAAGCATCGCTCATTCTCCGAGTGGTGGCGACCGATGTGTTTGTTTTACCATGGCACTTGGTATTCATTGTCTTACTTACATAATATTCCGTTTATTGTACCCATGCACAAAAACAGCAACAAGAAATTAAGAAAGCTTACTAAAAAAAAAATAATAACCCCATCAAAACAACACAAAAAAACTTTTATACACCACCACCCCTTTTCAAAAGAAAACAATAACCCTTTTGAATTAGCCTTACGGCAGTCTTAATTAAATCTGAGATCAGCCCCGGTTTGGACCTCAGAAGAGAACAATTAAATTTTGCTTTCTTTATCAGTCCTGCCTAAGATGGCCACCAGTGTTATACAGCTGCTTTTCTCCTTGACAATGGGTGACCGTTTTACACATGGTTTGACTGTACACATATTATAATTGCATGCGTATAGCAAACTATGATCTGATACTTCGTACGCAATTGCGTGCATATAGCAAACTATGATACCTTGCACGCAGTTGCGTATGATTAGTAAAATTTGAATTTCTGTGCACGCAGTTGCGTGCGTAAAGACTCATCCAGTAAAAATTAGTATTCAAATAGAATCAACAATTTAAAATTCAAGGCTTGTTCTGAAATGATAACAATAATATCTTGCAGTCAGTGATAGATTGTTAGAAATAGAAAATACCCAGATTGAGATTGGCAATGGTGTGCAGTAGAGATAGTATAGTAATAGTAATTCATTTTAAATTCGAAGTGGCTTGCCGTACTTAAGTACGGCTCAACTGCCAGTCTAGCCGTACTTAGATCTAGGTTTGGCCCTATCGACTCAAATTTACCTGTTGAGTACACAGGTCTCATTAGATCTAGATCTAGTAATTATTCACGTTTAAAATACACGCAAGTCAGTAAGGCACCTTTTGTTTTTGTCTGAAATACAAATACTTTAGGCATTGCAAACTAAAAATTTAATTAACAATTCAGCCATCAATAAAATGTACGGCTAGCCTGATTGTCTAGCCGTCCTAAGTACGGCTAGCCTAGCCGTCTAGCCGTACTTAAGCCAAGAAATCTCAAGAAGTCTAGCCGTACTTATCTTAAGCGCTATTAACATTAGAAAACAGGTCTCATTAGTAATTATTCAGGTTCGAAATACATGCACTGTCATTAAGGCACATGCTTTCTTCTCAAATACAAATACTTTAGGTACTGCAAACTAAAAATGTATTTGCAGTTCAGTAGGCTTAATTTTTTTTTGGGGGGGGGGGGGGGGGGGGGGGGTCAGTCTAGCCATCTTATTAGAAATAAGTACGGCTAGCCTCTTCCTTTTAAATTTCTGTCGAGATCTCGTCAATCAGAGCATCACAACCTTGGGAGAAAAAAAAGGGGAAAAAATTGAAAAGATCTTTAAAAAATATCTGAGTATCAAATAAAGGTAAAGTAAAATATTATAGAACAGTTGGAATATTATCAATGCATGCCTATTTTCCATGTATTAATAATTTTCTTGGTGTTCCACGTTACCTGAGGGTCGATAGGACCAGTCCAAGTGTATCGGACATTTGACGTTCTAGGCCTTCCATTAAGTCCACTCAAGACAGGACGGGGCGGTTTCGCCCAAACATTCAAGTCATCCATTGTTTATTCTATTTGTTTGCACGTCAAAGCAAAGATGGAACTTAAGTGACCAGTATTTTAAGTGTCAAGATTCCATACCGAAACTACATTCCGCCATATTGTTTGTTACTGTTTCCCACGGTGAATGGACAACAATGATCTCGTCTGCAAAAGAGCTCGCATAATTTGACGGATATTTTAAATATCGATACCACCCCACTCCAATTGCTCCAACAATGAAATGGAAAACAAAAATAATTATCGTGCTCGCCAACTCATAGCATTTGTTTGTGTAAAGTGTTTGAAAGTGCTTCAACCTGACTTTAACTGCTATTTCCTTACCAGATCTAGATCTAAGTAATAAAAATGCTTTTACGTTACTCTCTTTTCTTTATTGCACGATGTTTCTAAATAGACTTACATGCAGGGCCTACACATAATTTCCCTCAGCCTACTGTATAAATTAATAACGACTAAACAGTTTTTAATGAAGTTGATTAGACTACACGTTCTCTTCCGTTTAAAATATGTATTGGCTTGATTGTGCTTTAGAATAATAGGCTATGTTTAACCTGCTGGCCAGATCATAAGCGGTGAAAATTATAAACGTTAAATCATTGGCTTACAGGGATGGTATTTTTCTGTTTCTTGACCCCATAAATTATTGGTTATTACGAATCCCGATATGTTTAATTTTGAACACAAACAAAGATTTCTCTTCAGCTATTATACCTTGTGTCCCTAAAAGGTCTACACACCGAGAAACACAGAAAAATCTTGCTGTTATTTCGATTGGAAAATTTAATGCACTTCAACGAATATATATATATATAT